ACCAGAACACACTGTACTTTTGATGAATTCGTGCTCCCCTCCCCGCAGTGCCACTCAAACCCTATCTAAGTTTAAAAAAAAAAAAAAAAAACTTATCACCCCCCAAAAAAACCTGGCCGGTAAGGTTCTAGAAATTAAATTGATGCAGGGCCTCCCAGATGCTGCCAAACCAAAACTCCAGTAGACCCAGTGAGCATGAGCGACAGCTATCCATATGTTGCTGAATTGCACCTCTCTGTAGTTCCAGCCAGCAGAATTGCTTCCCTATTTCTACTCAAGAATTTCCTCCATCCTTCCCTAACATATTTTTGATGATGGGGTGACCTTTGAGAAACGTTAGCCTGTTTCAACTTTAGTTTGGGAAGTGGCTGTTAATACACCTTGTGATCGTACTCGTGCCCTGAGGTTTGCATATTTTGAACTTTTCTTATCCCATCTATGTGGATTAACTTCAAAGGATTTTCACTGAACTCATGTTGGCCTGCTTCTTAGGTGTTTGCTTAGGATTGCAGCCATATATTGATATAATACCCCGAGACACATACCGAAAAGCAGTTGAGTTCTGTTGTCTATAACCAGTCTTGTCCAGTTTCACTTTGCTTGGGCTATTAGTCCAATCTAGTAAGAACTAAAAGACCGCCTTCCTGCTGACTCTTTTGCCTTTCATTATTGGACATTGTTACTTAAATTTTGTAATAACTCTCCTCTTGGCGATGGTGGTGTTGATATACCTCGGAGCATTCTGTGCAATTAAACTATCCATCTGTTCAACTCGGAACACTCGACGTTTCATACAATCTGTCGGTGATATACAGCTACACGAAAGCCCTCAGAACAGTATAAAAAAGAACTCAAAGCTCTCATCCAAACACTTCCCACCAGCTTTGTGCTTGCTTTTGTTTACTGAATAGTGTTCTCTTACCAATTCAAAGGCTACCTAGAAAATCTTCCTTGCATTCTGTTTTTCCTGCTACAAGTAATATGGATGAAGTTTAGCTCTGCAGTAGCAACTGAGGCACAACTAACTGGAAGTGCTTTATTTTCAAGATGCTTTTCATATAACATTTGGAGAAATGCAGAGTGCTTGGACATAGCATGAAGGACATTTGTGGTCAGTGGAAGATGGACCTGACAGGAAAGGATTAAGAAGAGCTGTGAACTGTGTGAAGTCATTATTTGAGGGCTCACCCTCTTCCTGCTCTGAACCCATCAAGTAATGGAATGCAGGTTAATACCTTGCTACCTCTGCCCAAGGAAATAATGTGTCGTCTTAGGGCATCTGAGGTTGGAGACCCAAAATGTGCTGTTGCTTCTCCTTGTCCCTTCAGCCCCTCTCTTGGTGTATGAGTCAGCAGATGTGGGATGAATAGGACTGACCATTGAGCTTCTGGAAAGAGCAGTAGCTCTTTATCTCCTGCCATAGTTTAGGATTATATTTCTGCTTTGGAAAAGGCATTGGGGATGGGGGGTAAGGGGCTGGATCTTTTGTTCCTTGAGTGGGTAGGTAGAGGCCAATGATGTTAGTCCTTTCTCTGGTCTCTTAGCTCTGTGCTGGCTATCAGGAATCCAGTTCATGCATCCCTGGTCTTTCTCTTGGAGCTCAGATCCTTCCAACATGCTACTGTGTCTAATGACACTTGATTTCCCCACTGCCATCCTGCTGATGGAATATAAGACCTTGTCCTTGGTTCATACTTTGTGGCTTTCTTGGCTATAGCCTTCTGCCAACACACCGATTAGTTGGTGTGCAACTGCTGGTCATCTTTAACCTTTTTTTTTTCCCCTTGGCTCCTCAAAATGGAGCCATCAGAAAGTCACTGTTTCTCCTAGAAGGCAGAGCGTAAGACTGAAGAAATCTTAAACCGTACTTGAAGAGTTTGAAGCAGTGGAGGTAACCCTTTCCTTTCAACTCCAGTTCTGATGGCTGAGAATGTGTGTCTTCCTATTTTTTTCATTCTGCATTACAGAGCCAGAAATACAATGGTTTAATGTTCTGGAATGTTTCACTGAGATTGTCAGTCTTTACTAGCTGTATATTCTCTGAAATTTTACCATGTCCTAAACAGAGCAGCATGTGTGTACAAGAGTGAGTAAGAGAGCAATGGCTTTATATTATGTGATCCAGTTCAGAATATTGTCCAAATCTTAGTCTCACTTTTCTCCCATCTATCGTCTCCAGATGTTAGGCACTGCAATTTGAATCATCTCTAACTGCTGGGTAGATTGCCCAGAGCTGATTAGAATCCAATAAAAATTAGAAGGCCAATGGTTTCATTCTTCAGTTAAGCAAAGACATGAACCAGGCATGCTGGTAAATCCCACAAAGAGTAGATTCCCAGCTTTTCTGCTGTGTCTTAACTGTGAATTTTGTGAAACCATAAGGAGATCTAACCTAGGCTTCCCAAGCATAGTTTGACTGTTCAGAAGTAGGCACACTTTCTGACCTTCATTTTCCCACTGACTTCAACTATGACTTTGTTTTGCTTCTCTGTCTAGATTCATTATTTGGTATTGTGTGATGACCCTCCCAACCACTTGCTATTGTAATCCTGCTAGAATAAAAGAATTGGCTGCATAGTGTGCATCATTTTTAGTTGGAAGGCTGGCAGACAATATGTATGAATGCCACTGCTAATCAGCACAAGAGCTTTTGGAGGAGCATAATGTGTTTGTATCTTGGTTAGCCATTTCATTATATATTGCTGGCATGGCTCCGTGTCAGGACCTTGCTGTTGAAATGAAAGGTTCTCTATCCTTATTGGTGAACAATTAAAAAGAATAACCTGTTATTTGTGAGCAGAAGCGGCAATCTTGAAGGTACAAAGGTGGTGCTTCAGTCATACTGCTTATATTACTGGAGATAATATGTAGTCAGCATGACTAGTAGCCATGTAGCTATGGATGGTCTTATCCTGTATGAGTAAGTGCCCCTTTAGAGTAGTAGAAGTGGTCAGCCATCACAATATATTATTGCAAATTCCATTATTTTAATGACATGCTATATAAAGAAGTACTTCCCTTTGTTCTGACTCTCCTACCATTCAACTTTGTTAATGACTCCAAGATCTAATATTATATGAGAAGAGAAAAACTTGTTTTATTTGCCTTCTTCAACCCATGTACCGTAATGTTAGCTGGGTTTCTAGTAGAAATAGGATTTCTTGATACTCTAGATCTTGAACTTCCTGAGGATGCTGAGAATTGAAGTTCAGCAACTTCTGGAGTGCTGTAGGTTGCATTCTCTGTTGTAGAAAGTGAGCAAGTCTCTGAGGACATAATCCAGTCTACTTTCAGTTGGATATTATGTGGTCCAAATTAGTTTTTTCGCATATATAATTTGATCTGGCTTTGCTGTTGTTGCTTGTAGGAAATCTCTAATATGTGGAAGTCATGAGTGTTCTCATACACATATAAATAATTATTGATTAAAACTTTGAAATGCTGTGGAACATTTGTGTGGAACCTTTTGGTGGTGATGGTGGTGGGACTGGGATTACATTTTTCCTGGGGGAGGGAGTGAAACTAGTGTTGGGAGTAGAATGATCACATACCAGATTGGCTTTTGAAATTTGGCCAAGCAGCTTACCTCTGTTTTAATTTATTTCCTGCTGGACCAATATAATTAGGCCAAACGTAGTTGCACTCAAATACAGTTGAATTACTATGTAGGCAGAACTACAGCTAGAATGTCATGATGCCACCTAGGCTGTGGAACTTTTTTGATTACTCTTTGGAGATCCTCTCTTTATGCTCCTCAAGATATAGAAAAGATCACTCATTTTATTCAGGATCTAGTTTCCCTAGGATGCCATAATTGTCCTATAACCTGCTGTAAGGCAGCAGCAATCTCTAAGTAGGAAGTGACTAATGACAGTACTGTGTTCATTTTGAAATTTCAGGCGGATGTTGGGTAGGTGGAAAATTCCAATTACCACTTCCTTTTCATGAACGCTTCTGTGATAAGTATAAATGCTGGAGGGTGGCTGTATTGTGCAAGCTAATCAGCTCTTCACTCCACATGTTTGAAAAATAATAGGAAATGAATTTATGACTGAAATCCAAAATGTGGCCAAAGGCTAATGCCATTAACCTATTTTAACCTGTTTAACCTATTGAGAGTTATCTATTTTTAATGAATGTCTAAAATGTTTCACATT